CAGTACGCCTGTTGCATTTAAATACCTGATGTTCATATTTTCTGTATTACGTGAAGTAGGAGGAAACGTTTCTTTGTGTTTAGAGCAGTGTTTCCACAGAGGCCTGGGCCCAGGGCACAAAGCAGCCAATTTCTGCAGTAATGCAAGTTGTCATGAGGTGGAGGTCCAGAGGGGCACTGCTGCATCTGCTGGGCACAGGACACGGCCAGATCAAAGGACCTACCCGCAAACAATCCCAAGCCTCCTCCTCCTCTCCAGCCCAGAGTCAGGCTGTCCCTCCTCCCTCCTGGGAACACATCCCCCTCCTCCTGGGACACTTCCTCCTCCCTCTCCTGGGACACCCTCCTCCTCTCCACGGGGCACGTCCCTCCTCCCTCCACGGGCACGTCCCTCCTCCTCCACGGGGCACGCCCTCCTCCACGGGCACGTCCCTTCCTCCTCCAGGGACACATCCCTCCTGTATGGGGAACTCTCGCTCCTCCCTGCATGGGACACTTCCTCCCTCCTGTGGCGCCCACACTAGAACCACGTGCTCTGTCTCTCCTATCCTCTTGCACACCCCAGACATGCCTGGTTTTGGAGGGTGCCAGGTCGCCAATATGACAGGCCTGGCTGGGCCTCTGTGTTGCAATTCCTAGCACCATTGGTTTTGCTTGTTTGGGACAGAGTTATTATAACTTCTGGCACCCCTGAACTCTAAGAAACAACATCAGAAACAGAAGTTCCCTGATCTCTGGGCCAGAGCAGAAACCCAGGCGGAGGGTTTTGTCCTGAGAACACTGGTGACTGTGGCTCAGGCCTGTGGGGACCTCACCATCATCCCGTCCCCGAGGCTGGCTGTTGCCTGTTTTTGCTCCTGGCTGTCTTGGACCTGGGAGGATGGAGGCTGGGCAGAGCAGGCTCCAGCCAGCCGAACATTTGGGAGAGCACTGGGGCCCACCAATGGATCTGATGGATAATGCAGTACCAAGCTGGGGGCTGGATCCTAAAGGCACATGGCTGGCCTCTGTGGCCGTGGGCGAGCCATGTGGTGGGCAGTGCAGGCTGTGGCCCCTGTGGTCAGTGGCGAGGCCGTGGTGGTGGGTGCAGGCTGTGGCCCTTGTGGCCGTGCGAGGCCGTGTGGTGGGCAGTGCAGGCTGTGGCCCCTGTGGCCGGTGGCGAGCCGTGTGGTGGGCAGTGCAGGCTGTGGCCCCTGTGGCCGTGCGAGGCCGTGTGGTGGGCAGTGCAGGGCTCTCCTGGGGCTCAGGGGGCTGTCACGGGCTTCTGAGCTCTGGTCGTGGCTGGCTCTGGACCGCTAGGTCAGACGAGTGGACCTGCTCAGTGAGCCGTCAGGCATCCACGCCTGGGAGGGGCCTCCTGAACTGGGCTCCTGTGCTCCAGATGGGCAGATCCAAGCCCTGGACTCTACCATCCTCAGCCAACCAGTACCTGGGCACCCTGGAGCCAGTGTGGGGGCCTCTGGTCCCGATCGTGTGAGCAGCCAGTGGCCACCTGTCCTGGCCCGAGTGAGAAAGCGCGCCTGCCTGCGGAAAGTGCACGTGCTGCTGGGCGAGGCTGGTGAGGGCCGCCACATACACAGGTCAGCTGGCTGCAGATGGACGCTTGAAAGGAGCCAGCAGCGGGAGCCTGGCGTCTGCCCTCTGAGGTCAACGCTTCCCCGTCACTATTTTCATGGTACCGATGCGAAAGTTGCCTGCAGTACCTCTTAGACTAGGTTCAAGTCCTGATCCAGGCTGCAGCCCTGAGTCAACGGAACTTCTACCCAGATGCTGCCAAGATTTTGGGAAGAACAAGAGGCCCTTCCCCAGTGTGTCCAGAGCAAGTGGCGTCATGCCCATGATGGCACAGGGTCGTGGGATGTGGCCCGAGGAGCTCAGAACTGGCATTGGTCAACAAGAGCCCCAGAGACACAGGGTGGGTCTGCCAAGGACCCTCAGGGACCACCAGGAAGTGGAGACTCCAGTGTGATGCGCTGGGCAGCTCTGGCAGCAGGGGATGGGGCTCCCAGGGCCAGGGCCCTGCATGGCCCTGGCAAGGTGCCTGGCTGGTTGTCCATCCGTGGGTGAGCTCGCCCAGGCGGGCAGGCTCCTCCAGGTGGGCGTGAGTGTTGCTGGCTCCCGGAGCCTTGGAGAAGCTCTGCCCATTCCACAGCCGTCAGGCCCGGAGCTGCTCCCTCAGAGCCCACTGCCGATGCCACCTTGTCAACCAGCCAGCTGGGCCTCCCGTGGCCTTCAAAGCCACAGGCCTTTCTAGAAACCTCTTTGCAGTTCATTTGTGGTGATTTATCCCTGGACGGGTTCTCAGGATTCTGTCCTTCTCCACCCGGCTTTTCTCTGGGTCAAGCGCTGACCCCAGCCAGGCAGAGGCGAAGAGGCCCCGATGCACAGCTCTCGTCCTGCCCGGCGGGCGCAGCTCCGGGACTGACTGGTGGGAGGTGTGGCTGCTCCCAGCTGCCCTGTGTCTCACTCCCGCCCCAGGAGCTCCAAGCACAGGTGGGGTTTGGTCTTCTGGCAAAACCCCAGTCTGGGTCTCAGATGCTGAAACCCTCCCTGGTCCCCCCGTGTGGCCCTGCAGTGGCAGCACCTGCCTGGGACCCACGCTTGGCCCAGATAGAGGCTCTTAGCACAGGTGGCCGCGTCCCACGGAGCATCAAGCCACTGCCTTGGTCAGTCCCTGGGACTAAGGAGAGGCAGCCACCCGTGGCCCCCCCACTCCACGGCCCCCACCAGCTGCGGCCCACGATCCTTCCAGGAGGCAGGCAGGGTCCCGACTGCATCTCAGGCACCTGCCTCACGGCGCCCGGCTGCCCTAACCTTCCTCGCAGACTCGTGGCCTGCTGGGCAGAGAGCAGCAGTGACCGCCTCCACCCCTTGCAGACAAGGAAGCTGAGGCTGAGGGACATGGGGACCCTGCCAGAGGGGACGTGGGAAGTTGGCTGGCTCTGCTCCCGCAAGCTCTAACGCAGACTGAGACACAGAAAGCAGCGTTTCCTTTTCTCAACAGAACACGCTTGAGCCCCGGAAGCAAGTGGGTCTGTGCAGGAGGGTGGGGGTGGGATGGCACAGGGGTGCAGGTGCCACCTTGGTATCTTCCTGCCCTCGGTCCCAGCTCAAGTCCCTTCCAGGCTGGCTCAGAGGCCGCTGTCCGAGCAGCCTGCGCCAGTGCGCTGGGTGCTTCCTCACCGTGCCCTCCCCACTGGGCACTGACTGGTTGCCCGGGGTGGGTGAGGGCTGAGCGGGCTTTCTCCCATTTGCAGAACAAGTAAACTGAGGCTCCAGCCCTGCCCTCACTACCAGAGTCAGAGGCTCCCGAGGAGCAGACCGTGGCCACCCAACCAGGCTGGGAGCAGAAAAAGAGGGATCTTGAGCGGCTGCTTGCAGCCTGGAGCCCTGGCAGCCCCGCTCATCCCAGACGCTGCTACGTGCCGAGAACCGCGCGGGAGCAGATGGCGGCCAACGCAGTGTTACAAAGCTTGCAAATATTTTATTTTCCATATTTTAGAGTCAGAAAGAAGCGCTTGGTAATAAAAATAATAGAGAATTATTTTCTTCGAACCCGCTCTGCCCTGCGCCTGCCTCCCGCGCCTCCAGGCCTGCGGCTGAGTGCGCGCGTCAGAGGCCCCACGTCCATCTCACTATTTACAGATATGTTACAGGCCAAGACGGTCACAAAGGAAAGCCCAGCTCTCAGGTGGCCTCTACGGGTGAGGGAGCCCCCAGTGCTCCTCCCTGCTGTTTCCCGACAGAGGCTGAGGAGCCTGCTGCGTCCCATGGGGCCTAGGCTACAAAGGGCTCCACGGGCGGGCAGGAGTGGGCGGTGATGTCACTGTGCTTGTACGCCGCCTCGTCCAGGTCCAGCAGCCTCCGGTTGACCTCCAGTGTCATGCAGCCGCGGTGAGAAGCGCGTGACTGGCGCTGAAGTCGCTGGCACATCTGGGCCGCGGGGAGAGAACAAACACATCTTAGCAGACCCAGCCTGGGTCCCAGGGATCACCGCGTGCCGGGTCCCCTGCCTGGCCCCCCACCCTAGGAAGCGCTTGTGGCCAGCCCTGGGTTTCCTCTGAAAGGGCAGGATTTCCCTTTCTTCTCTAACTTCTGTCCCTGTTTGTTCAAGGCAGACCCGCAGACAAGCAGGAGGCATCCGGGCCAGCCTTGGCTCTGCAGAGCCGGCCTCCTTCGCCGGGAGCACAGACAGTCCCATCGATTAAACGCGATCTTCTTCTTTGCCCGGTGAGTCATTCAGGCTGCAGGCCTCCTGGCTTGCTCTCATCCTCTTCAAAGCTCTGCTTTGTTAAAACTAAGTGGAGTCTGTGTCTGGCAGCCAAGACAGAAATCCTGCCATTTGCTGCAAGTGAAATTGCAGCAGTCGAGGACTGCGGCCCACGTAAGCCTTCTAAGTCCTCTCCTATATTGGGCAGGACACCCTATCTGAGCCTCAGCATAGTAGCCCATGGGACACGGCGGCCCGGCTGGACGCGGAGGCTGGCTGCTAACAGCTGTGGTGACAGCCGTGGGGTCCCAACTGCAGCCTGGCCTGAGGTCTGCCCAGCCCTCTCCCCAGGCCGGTCTGGTGGACAAACGCTCCTGAAGATGCCGGTTCACGGGATCTGACTCAGGCCGATGCCAGCCCCTGTATGTGTTTCTCAGCCTCAGCTGACGACCTGACCGGCATGGAGGCACCATAATGGCCGCTAAGGACCCACCTGACTTCCTTCCTCTTAAAACACACAAACCAGAAACACCAGCCTGTCCAGGTTCGATCTGGGGTGACCAAGCTGGGCATCCCTGAGCCCTCGCCCGGGATGAGCAGGGCAGGAGTACCTACCTGGCAGGCCGCAGTAAGCACGGGGCTCCGCAGGTGCTTCGAGCACGGCCAGCCTCCTGCAGCTGCGCGGCGCCACCTCGCTCTGGCCCTGGTGCCGCCCACCTCCAGGGTGGCCTCCACCTCCCTCAGCGAGACAGTGACCATGTGCTCTGACCATCGCAGACCTTTGATCTCCATTAGGCCAAGGCCCACGTGCTCCACGGCTGCACCACCAGCTGCAGGAGACCGAGATGTGGTCAGCTCAAGGGCGCCCCACATAAGCCGTTAGGTCCAAGCTGGTCCTCACAGTTGCCGCCGCCCCCACACCGTAGGCCTGTCTCCGTCCAGGGTTCCCTGCAGCCCTGGGTCTGGATGCTCGCTGACTGTGGATGACGCCCCCACCTCACCTGGGGCTCAGCTTCTCTGCGCCGCAAGCCAGGGGCCAGCCTGGGAGGCTGTGGGGAGCAGGTGTGGCCCCCCAGGTTGAGTGTCAGAGGTCAACCCCAGCCCCAGGCACACACAGGACCGAGGCTGCACTTGACCAGGAACTGGTGTGTCCCTGACGGACCCAGCCCAACCCTGTGGTGGTGGACTCCCAGCCTGGTGGGCTCTCACGCTGGCACCGCAGCCCAGCTGCCCACTCCCAGCCCAGGGTCAGCTGTTGCTACATAAGGGCGGCTGTTTATTCCAGATGCTGGGATTGCGTCTGGTCTCTGGTGATGAGCATTTCGGGTGAACCAAGCCTGTCACTGTTGTATCCAGCAACCAGGAGGGCCTCTGGGGTGGGCAGACTTGAGAACAAGGGCCTCTCTGGTTTGACTCCATGTCGTCCTTGGCACAGGAGCGAGAGAATCCAACTCCTGTTTCTGTCACTCTGATTGTTCTGTGGGAAAACAGCATGACTCCCGCCCAAGACAGCTGACTTATTGTGAGGACCGGGGAGACCTCATCCAAGGGGCAGCTGCACTCAGCTCCACCCACTGTCCCCCAGGGAGAGACGCTGTGGGGGGCACCAGCCGAGGTCACAGATCTGACTTTTCCAGGCGAATTGGAAAACTGGAGTTGAAACTGATCTGACTTAAACGTGAGAGACTAATTCAGTTTGCTGTGAGCCACCATCTGCCCAGCTAACGGGAAAGCTCCTTGCACGCCAGGGCCGAAAGGTGGCTCGCAGGCACGTGCCCAGAATGGGGCCGGGGTGGTGGTGGCGGTGATGTGTGTCCAAACCACCTGACAGTCGGAAGGCGGCCCGCGCCGGCTTGGCTCATCGGACCTCTGGTCAGAGGCTTTGCGGCTCCTGGGGATCCCACCCAGGCCCTCCGTCCTGCCAGAGAGTGGGCCCACGGCTGTGGGACGAGCCGGTCAGACACCCCGGTGGCGGAGGCCCTACCTGCTTTTGAGCTTCTTTGTGAGTGATAGTCTACCAGGGCCACAGAGAGAGGGCATCGCACGGAGGTCGGGACCCAGAGCGCAAACAGCACCCCCGTGTCTGCGGCCGGGCGGATGTGAGCCACGACTTCTATTTCCCAGGTCGATTCTGTCCCGATGTCCAGAGGGGTCCGCATCATGCATGAAAACGGTGCGGTTATAGGGTGGGATGCAGTGGAGAGGCCACAGTGAGGTCGAGCGGGTCCTGAGAGACGAGCCTGGCCGCGGGGAAGCTGCGGGACGGCCCCGATCTGGGATGTGACGGAAAACTCGAGAGTCTGGTTCAGATCCTGTCTCCAGAGCCCAGAGCCACCGGGGACCCCCAGGCTGTCTCTCCCTGGCCACACCAGTACCCCACTTCCAAATCAGCCTAGGCGAATACCACCAGGCCACACAGACCTGCCTGAGGGGACACGGGCTGTGCACCATGGGAGAGGCCTGTCCCTGCCTTTCCTCTGATGTCCTCTGTTTCAGGAGCGCCTGGCAGCTTCCTTCCTGGAGCACGTACAGGTGCATGGCCTCGTGCCTCGAGTCTCACCTGCAGCTTCTGAGCAGCAGCACAGGGCTCAGCGTGAGCCAAGAGTACGGACAAGAGCTGTCGGGAGCGTGGTGGTCTGGGGTCTGCGCTGTCAGGAGCATGTGCGGTCTGGGGTCTGAGCTGTCAGGAGCACCAGCACCCGCGGTCTGGGGTCTGAGCTGTCAAGAGCACCCGCGGTCTGGGGTCTGAGCTACAAGAGCACCCAGGTCTGGGGTCTGAGCTACCGTGAGCACGCGGTCTGGGGTCTGCACTGGGTCAGTGGTTAACGCGCGGTTCGGGGTCTGCAGGCTGTCAAAGGCAAGGGTGGTCTGGGGGTCTGGAGTTGTCAGAGCACTCAAGTGTCTGGGGTCTGTGCTGTCAAAGGCAAGGGTGGTCTAGATCTGAGCTGTCAGAGCACACGGGTCTGGGGTCTGGAGCTGTCAGGATCACAGGCGGCCTGGGGTCTGTGCTGTCAGGAGCATCGTGCGGTTGGGATCTGAGCTGTCAGGAGCACACGCGGCTCAGATCTGCACTGGGTCAGGAGCACGCGGTCTGGGGTCTGTGCTGTCAGCAGCAAGGGTGGTCTGGGATCTGAGCTGTCAGAGCACACGTGGGTCTGGGGGGTCTGTTACCAGATCACAGGCGGTCTGGGGTCTGTGCCAATGTGGCAAGGTGGTCTGGGATCTGAGCTGTCAGGAGCACACGCAGCCCGGGATCTGCACTGTCAGGAGCACGCGCGGTCTGGGGTCTGTACTGTCAGCAGCAAGGGTGGTCTGGGGATCTTGAGCTGTCAGAGCACACGTGGTCTGGGGTCTGAGCCAGTCAGGATCACAGGCGGTCTGGGGTCTGTGCTGTCAGCAGCAAGGGTGGTCTGGGATCTGAGCTGCTGAGTACACGTGGGTCTGGGGTCTGAGCTGTCAGGATCACAGGTTGCCTGGGGTCTGTGCTGTCAGCAGCAAGGGTGGTCTGGGATCTGAGCTGTCAGGAGCACACGCAGTCTGGGACCCACCTGTCAGGAGTACACGCGGTCTGGGGTCTGTACTGTCAGCAGCAAGGGTGGTCTGGGATCTGAGCTGTCAGGAGCACACGTGGTCTGGGGTCTGAGCTGTCAGGATCACAGGCGGTCTGGGGTCTGTGCTGTCAGCAGCAAGGGTGGTCTGGGATCTGAGCTGTCAGGAGCACACGTGGTCTGGGGTCTGAGCTGTCAGGATCACAGGCGGCCTGGGGTCCAAAGCACAGCAGCAAGGTGGTCTGGGATCTGGAGCTGTCAGGTTGGCCACGCGGGTCTGGGGTCTGAGCTGTCAGGACTCACAGGCGTGGTCTGGGGTCTGTGCTGTCAGCAGCAAGGGTGGTCTGGGATCTGAGCTGTCAGGAGACACGGGTCTGGGGTCTGAGCTGTCAGGATCACAGGCGTCTGGGGTCCGTGCCGTCAGCAGCAAGGGTGGTCTGGGATCTGAGCTGTCAGGAGCACGCCAACCAGAGATCTGAGCCGTCAGGAGCACGCGCGGTCTGGGGTCTGTAAAGGTCAGACTACAGACGGCCTGGGGTCTGTGCTGTCAGGAGCACGTGCGGCCCGGGGTCTGAGTTGTCAGGAGCACCTGTGGTCTGGGGTCTGAGCTGCCAAAAGCAGGCGTGGTCTGGGCGCTAACAGCAGCACGCGCGGTCTGGGGCCTGAGCTGTCAGGACGGCAGGTGGTCTGGGATCTGAGCCAACAGATCACAGGTGGTCTGGGATCTGAGCTGTCAGGAGCATGCGCGGTCTGGGGTCTGAGCTGTCAGAGCACACGCTGCCTGGGATCTGCACTCAACAGGAGCAGCGCGCGGTCTGGGGTCTGTACTGTCAGCAGCATGGGTGGTCTGGGGATCTGAGCTGTCAGAGACACGTGGTCTGGGGTCTGGAGCTGTCAGGATCACAGGCGGTCTGGGGTCTGGGGGCTGTCAGCAGCAAGGGCGGCCTGGGATCTGAGCTGTCAGGAGCACGCGCGGTCTGGGATCTGAGCTGTCAGGAGCACGCCGGTCTGGGGTCTGTGCTCAGGATCACAGACGGTCTGGGGTCTGTGCTGTCAGAGCACGTGCGTCTGGGGTCTGAGTTGTCAGGAGCACTCTGTGGTCTGGGGTTCATGCTGTCAGGCAGCACGCCGGGGTCTGGGGCCTGGTTGCTGTGATCACAGGTGGTCTGGGGATCTGAGCTGTCAGAGCACGCATGTCTGGGGTCTGCGCTGTCAGGAGCACGCGCGGTCTGGGGTCTGAAAGGCTGTGATCACAGGCGCCTGGGGTCTGCGCTGTCAGGAGCACGCGCTGTCTGGGGTCTGAGCTGTCAGAGCACCTATGTCTGGGGTCTGAGCTGTCAGGAGCACCTGCATTCTGGGGTCTGAGCCAAGCCAGATCACAGGCGGTCTGGGGTCTGCGCTGTCAGCAGCAAGGGTGGTCTGGGGTCTGAGCTGTCAGGAGCACCCATGTCTGGGGTCTGAGCTGTCAGGAGCACGCGCGATCTGGGGTCTGAGCTGTCAGGAGCACCCGCGGTCTGGGGTCTGAGCTAGCCAGGAGTACGCCGCGTCTGGGGTCTGCTGTCAGGAGCACATGCCTGGGGTCTGCGCTGTCAGGAGCACGCGAGGTTCGGGGGTCTGGAGCTGTCAGGATCACAGGCGGTCTGGGGTCCGTGCTGTCAAAGGGCAAGGGTGGTCTGGGGTCTGAGTTGTCAGGAGCACGCGCAGTCTGGGGTCTGCGCTGTCAGGAGTATGGCCCGGGGTCTGCGCTGTCAGGAGCATGTGTCTGGTTCTGAGAGCTGTCAGTGAGTACCTGCAGTTCAGTCTGAGCTGTCAGCAGCAAGGGTGGTTGGGGTCTGGAGCTGTCAGGATCACAGGCGGTCTGGGGTCTGTGCTGTCAGCAGCAAGGGTGGTCTGGGACTGGAGCTGTCAGGAGCACTCCGCGGTCTGGGGTCTGTGCTGTCAGGACTACAGACGGTCTGGGGTCTGGAGCTGTCAGGAGCACGCGCGGTCTGGGGTCTGTGTTGTGGACTGGCACGGCCTGGGGTCTGTGCTGTCAGAGCACGCTGCGTCTGGAGTCTGGAGCTGTCAGGAGCACGCGCGGTCTGGGGCCTGAGCTGTCAGCAGCACGCACGGTCTGGGGTCTGCGCTGTCAGGAGCACGCGCGGTCTGGGAGTCTCTTGTTTTCGTCAGAGCACGCGCGGGTCTGGGGCCTGAGTCAAAGCAGCACGCACGGTCTGGGGTCTGCGCTGTCAGGATCAAGCAGACGTCTGGGGTCTGTGCTGTCAGGAGCACGCGGTCTGGAGTCTGAGCTGTCAGGAGCACGCGGTCTGGGGCCTGGAGCTGTCAGCAGCACGCACGGTCTGGGGTCTGAGCTGTGAGCACGCTACGTCTGGGGTCTGTGCTGTCAGGATCACAGACGGTCTGGGGTCTGTGCTGTCAGGAGCACGCGCGGGCCCGGGAGTCTGAGCTGTCAGGAGCACGCGCGGTCTGGGGCCTGAGCGGTCTGGGGTCTGCGCTGTCAGGAGCACGCGCGGTCTGGGGTCTGAGCTGTCAGGATCACAGGCGGTCTGGGGTCTGTGCTGTCAGCAGCAAGGGTGGTCTGGGGTCTGAGTTGTCAGGAGCACGCGCAGTCTGGGGTCTGCACTGTCAGGAGCATGTGCGGTCTGGGGTCTGCGCTGTCAGGAGCATGTGCGGTCTGGTTCTGAGCTGTCAGGAGTACCTGCAGTCTGGGGTCTGAGCTGTCAGCAGCAAGGGTGGTCTGGGGTCTGAGCTGTCAGGATCACAGGCGGTCTGGGGTCTGTGCTGTCAGCAGCAAGGGTGGTCTGGGATCTGAGCTGTCAGGAGCACGCGCGGTCTGGGATCTGAGCTGTCAGGAGCACGCGCGGTCTGGGGTCTGTGCTGTCAGGATCACAGACGGTCTGGGGTCTGTGCTGTCAGGAGCACGCGCGGTCTGGAGTCTGAGCTGTCAGGAGCACGCGCGGTCTGGGGCCTGAGCTGTCAGCGATCCACAAGGCGGTCTGGGGTCTAATGCTGTCCCAGCACTTAAGGGTGGTCCTGGGGTCTGAGTTGTCAGAACCTGCGCGCAGTCACCAAGGTCCTGCACTGTCAGGGCATCTGGGTCTGGGGGTCTCTGCGCTATCAGAGAACATGTCTGCGGTCTGGTTCTGAGCTGTCAGGAGTACCACCTGCAGTAAGTCTGAGCTATGTCCAGCGCGCTTGGCGGGGTAGTCTGCGAGTTGACTGTCAGAGGATCACAGGCGGTCTGAGGTCATGCTGTCCTGGCAGCAGCAAGGGTGGTCTGGGATCTGAGCTGTGGGAGCCAGCAGTCTGGTCTGACCCATCAGGATCGAGCGGTCACAAGTCCTGAGCTGTCAAAGAACACAGCGAGTCTGGGGTCATGCTGTCAGGATCTGACCAGTCTGGGGTCTGTGCTGTCAGGAGCCACGCGGTCTGGAGTCTGGGCTGTCCAGAACCACTTGCTTGCCAGTCTAGGAGCCTAGGCTGTCCAGCATGCACCGCGCCGCGGTCTGGGGCCTGCTGTCAGAACCGCCAGCGTGAGTCTGGGGCCAAGCTGTCAGCAGCCACGCGCGGTCTGGGGCCTGCGCTGTCAGGCTTCTGTGATCCCCACAAGTCTCTGCTAGCAATAGGAGCTGGGCGGCGCAGTCTGGGGTCTGCGCGCTATCCAAGAAGACACGCGGAGTCTGGGGGTCTGCGCTGTCAGTGCTTTGCTCCTCTCCCTCGGTGGGGTTTCCACTCACGCGCTCGTGTCATGAACCCACGTGTGTCACATGTGCGCAGCATCTGAATGAAATCACGTGGCATCCAGCGCTCCTTACAAAGTGCCCAAGCATGCTTCTGCTAGTAGGAAGGGGCTGGTCTGGTTCTCAGGGAGAATACCACTGCATGTCTTCTCCATGAGCCCTCCGTGGACTAAGAAGCCAGAAGATCAAACCTCACACCTGTTTTCAGTGTTTCATCACCAGGAGATTCAGGTCTAACAAGAGAAGCTGTTTGGAAAAAGGACCCCAAATCAATGTGTGTATGGTTGTGATGGCAGCGAGAACCTCACACCTGCAGGCAGTGGGGTCAGTGGTGTGCTACAGCTTCCTGTCTGCTCCAGGGCTGTATGCACCCTCAAACCATCGCCTGTCCTGCCTGTCCCTAGCTGGTACCCGCCAGGTCAGTTCTCAACAGCCATATACCTGGCATTGAAACCTAAAATCAGAAAAAGTAACAAAATACAGCAACAGAAACAAAAGTAACGCTTGAGAAATTTCTCCTGTTGGCTGGTCCATCACCTGAGAAAGGAGAGATGATGGTGTCACTGATGAAATCTCCAGCTGGGTGTGGTGGCTCACGCCTGTAATCGGAGCACTGGGAGAGCCGAGGTGGGTGGATCACCTAAGGTCGAGTTCGAGACCAGCCCTGACCAACCATGTGGCTGTCAGGAGCACGCGCGGTCTGGGGCCTGAGCTGTCAGCAGCACGCGCGGTCTGGGGCCTGCGCTGTCAGGAGCACACGCGGTCTGGGGTCTGCGCTGTCAGGAGCACGCGCGGTCTGGGGTCTGCGCTGTCAGGAGCACGCGCGGTCTGGGGTCTGCGCTGTCAGTCTTTGCTCTGCTCCTCCCTCAGTGGGGTTTTCCACTCACGCGCTGCGTGTGCGCATGAACCCACGTGTGTCACATGTAACGCATCTGAATGAAATCACGTGGCATCCGTAGCTCATACAAAAGTGCCCCAAAACGTATGCTAGTAGGAAGGGCTGAATTCTGGTTCTCCCAGGGAGAATACCACTGCATGTCTTCTCCACGCTGAGCCCTCCGTGGACTAAGAAGCCAGAAGATAAAACCTCCACCCTGTTTTCAGTGTTTCTATCTCACCCAGAATTCCAAAGTCCTAACAAAGAAGCTGTTTTAGGAAAAAGGACCCCAAATCAATGTGTGTATGGATTTGTGATCGGGGGCCTCACACTGCGGGCCGAGTGGGGTCACAGTGAATTGTGCTGGCTTCCCTGTCTCTTTCCCACGGGGCTGTGTGCACCTCAAACCCACATCGCCTGTCCTGCCTGTCCCTAGCTGGTACCCGCCAGGTCAGTTCTCAACAGCCATATATGGCATTGAAACACAAAATCAGAAAAAGTAACAAAAATACAGCAACAGAAACAAAAAGTAACAACAAAAATTCTCCTGTTGGCTGGTCTCCATCACCTGTGAAAGGAGAGATGATGGTGTCCTTTAAAATGGAAGCTCCCGGCTGGGTGTGGTGGCTCACGCCTGTAATCGGAGCACTTTGGGAGGCCGAGGTGGGTGGATCACCTAAGGTCGGGAGTTCGAGACCAGCCTGACCAACCATGGAGCAACCCCATCTTTACCAAAAATGCAAAATTAGCTGGGTGTGGTGGCGTAATCCCAGCTACTCGGGAGGCTGAGGCAGGAGAATCGCTTGAACCCAGGAGGCAGAGGTTGTGGTGCGAATCTGGGAGGTGCAGCCGAGATGGTGCCATTGCACTCCAGAGAGCAAAACTCCATCTCAAAAAAAAAAAAAAAAGGAAGCTCCCGTCAGGAACCGGGCACGTGCTGGCCATCAGGGGCTTCACGAGGGCACCGGCCTCTGCTCTCCCCGGGAAGGTTTCTCGGCTCCACGTGGCCCCTCGCGTGGAGGCTGCACAGACCTGGAGATCTGTGAGCCTGAGCCCAGGCTGAGTCGCTGCAAAGTGAGCCAGGCCAGAGCTACCGTTCCCAGCAAGTCTCTTCTGTCTTTAAGAGATGTTACTGGTATAGTCTGAGATTCGCTGGGAACGCATGGAGCTCTAACTGCTTCAGTCTGGATAGACCAAAACGGGCTGGCAGACGTGGCCGGCAGTCACTGGAAACGGCCCCTGTGATGCCTGCGTAAAGTTACCCCTGAGAAATGTGTACGATATTAAGTGAAAAAATGATTTAAGCATTTCGTATGACATGATTTCATGTCAAACATTATAATGATGCTCTAGATTTGTAAGTGAAAAATCGAGACTGAGGGAGAATGCGTGCACAGTGGCAGACGGGCTTTTCTCACAGATGCCTTTCCTGACACGGTCACGCTTTTTACACCCAGGGAGAGACGCGGACACTGGATCTGGCTCAGGAGACGGGGCAGGACCCTCCCCTTTGCTCCGCGTGGACCCCCTTGAAACACCCAGGGGTTCCTGCTGGGTGCTTGAGGGCTGGCAGCCCTGAGATCTGATGGAGGGGGCGCTGTCTGCCCTCTGTGCATGTGGGGGCTTCGCCATAAACGGCTCGGTGTTCAGGAACAGGGTCGGGCTGCGGTGCCCCAGTGGGACCCATGTGGGGTGGGAATGTGAGGCAGGGCGGGCTGAGCAGTAACTCTATCCGCATAGCAGCTCCAGGGCCTTCACCGGGGAGGGCGGCAGCACCTTCCCCAGGGCACCGCAGGACTGGGCCAGCAGCTCACACCTACCCTGTCCTCCTTTTTCAGGCCTGAGTTCACTGTCCCCCAGGCAGCTTCATTGCTGTTTTTAGACACCTCCTGTTGTAGATGTCTCACCGGGTCATTGGTGACCGCAGTGTCCACCACATTACTGAGAGCTTCCATGTGCCTCTGGACAAGTCCTAAGGCTGGTACTGTCTCAGGACTTTCTGCAAAGGACCCTCTAGGGCCTCCCAGCCTCCCCGGCCTCCCCGCACCAGCCTGGCAAGCATCTTCTCGGCACATCTCTGTCATTTCTTCTTCACTGGCTGACTCTGAACTGAGTGACCTGCAGAGCCATCCTGAGAGGGGGGCCTCTGCGCACACCTCTGCCCACCCCGCCCTGCCCTGGAACCGGAGGAGCCTCAGCTTGTCCTGACGCTGCCATCTGAGGCCGTCTGCTTGCTCTCAGCGTATGCCTGAAGGTGCAGCCACAGCCGCCCCAACGGGAAGAGCCAAGACTTACTGTAGTCCAGGCTGTAGAAGGCAAAGCCACTCCCCGGGTAAAAGGAACCTCTTTCTGTCACCGAGAAGCACTGCATTTTCGTGTTCGCTTTCACCGTTTCTTGGATGGTGGTGTCTTCTCCGTTCAGCCAGTTCCAGCTCCTCATACAGCCGTCCAGACGAGGGTTTATCTGGAAAGGCAGAGAAATCTCCGTGGCTTCCTGGGAGCGGGAGGCCAGTGCCGGACACCCCAGGCAGTGGGTGGTGCCTCCGCAGCCGCAGCAAGTGCAGACCTACTGCAAAAATGGGCCAATCCCACTGGTGGTGGTGATTTCACAGGAGGTTTCCTCACTTTACAAAATGACCCGCTGCAGAATACCCGTTTGCACTGGTGTATGCTCAGGAAATACAGGTTAATTTTAAAGCTAGGAAAGGACGGAAAAAGCCACGTGGGTCCAAGGTCAAATGATACGGATTGTTTAACCATCCAGCACTCACGTGAATTATTCAATATTCAATATGTCTGTGGGCAAATCAGGGCAACCCCCTTATCTGTGAAACAAGGAGGGGCGAGCCAGGCAAAGTCCCAGCACCAGGCAGTCCGTGGGCCTGGGAAGCAGGGGCCCCTCATAACACTGAAGGGCTGGCTTCAGCACAGGCACCGCCGACACTCAGCGCCCACAGACGCGAAGACGTGTGCCCTTCTCCTGTCTGGTGTGGGAGTGAAAACACCCAGGATGAAGGCTTAGATGTCAGTGCGTGGGGGCTGGAGACACAGGTCGGGGGCACAGGCGTGTGCTGTGCTGAAGGGGAGAGAAGGCAGGACCTGGAGAAAGGGCCCACACTGGCCGCCCCACCATGGCTGTTCTTCCCTTATGAGACTCATGGCAGAGTTACAAAACACAAAATGTTCTTGGAAATTGTCCAAAAAAGTTTGTTGTTCTGTTAGGGAATAATTTCATTGTGTCTTGTCTCCATTGAAAAACAGACAACATTATTATCAATTCAGATGAAAACTTAGACGGGTCTCATAAAAAGAGATGGTAAAATTAATGACACAGCTGTACCGTGACTTTGTCAAATTCTAGGAAACCTTTCCTTCCTCTAGGTCGTCCCCACACCTGGTTAATCGTAAACACAGGGCAGGGCGTGACTGAGTCTTCCTGACACCGTTCCCGGGATCCCAGCACACGGCGCGTCCACACAGGCACAGGTACGGTACTCACAGGCTGCACGAGGTCCTTCTCATGGAAGGGAATGCCTCCCACCGTGAGGTTCAGATGATACAGTCCTCGCTCTGGTTGGAACAAGTCCCCGGCCACCGCGATTTTCATGACAGCGTCCCTGTTGACCTTGATGACCAGATTCCGCGCCAGCTCCTCAACAGAGATCTGAAGAGAGGCAGCGCCATGAGAAGAGGTGGGACTGCATGTTCTGAAGGGCTCCCAACTGCAGAAAAACCACACTCATCCTCTCCTGAGCCAAGAGGGACCCGACCTCAGGGAGACCACCTGATCCTCACCTGAGCCAAGAGGGACCTGACCTCAGGGAGACCACCTGATCCTCACCTGGGCCAAGAGGGACCCGACCTCGGAAAGTCCGTGCTCATCACCTGGGCCAGGAGGGCCCTCGGTGCATCAGTGTGGTCACCAGAAACTTTCCTCACAGGAAACCTGCGAAGTCTAATACTAGATACACTATATTCCTAAGCTTCAGAAGAATATCCTTGTTCCTGTGTGAAAACACCTTTCAGGTATTTGGGTTTGAACCGAGTCACACACACGTACAAACTCGGGTCAGCTGGGTCTGGGGAGCAGCTAGAGAGGGTGGAGTTGAGGGGGGGTCCTCATGAGGTTCCCCTGCCGGGGAAGGGCCCGTCTTGCTGGGGCGCGGCGGCCGCTGTGAGTCACTGGGCAGGTCTACGAAATACCGCTCCCCACGGCGACCTCGCCTCCGGCCACCTGCCCTGGCCCCTCACCCCGTGGCTCCATCCCTGAAACTGCTTCCCCTCCATTTGCTTTCTGTAGCTTTGCTGAGAACAGCCTTCTGCTCTTGGAGATGCCGTTCCTTTAAGAGGCTGGGAAAATGGAGCGAGGCCTTACTCTGCAGAATGGAAATAGGAGCAAAGTCTACAGTGTTTCATCTGCGGGGTCAGAGTGAATTTTCCACTTCATCTTCACTTCTGAAGGACATGACGTGCTTTCTCCCCAGCTTTTACTTCTGAAAGCCCCGTGCGGTGAGGGAGGCCCAGCGCTGTGGGCAGGAGCCTGGTTGGTTACAGACCCTCTCACTCCATGGATGGGGACGTGGGGTGGGCGCGTTTTACCACTGCCCTCGGCTGCCCAAATGCAGGTCTGACCAGGACCCCTCAGGCTGCCCATGGGGCTGGGGTCCAGGTGGTCAGGACGTTTCTGGCAAGGGGCAGCCCCGGTGAGGTCACCTGGACCCCTGGCATGCATGACTGCACTGACCAGCAGGCCTTGGGAGCCAGAGTTCAGGGACGGCAGCGTCCACGCCGTCCTACGGGGAAAGGTGGGTGGGTGGCGCCTGGCCTGTCCACGGCCAGGGAGACACGTATGGCAGGAGCGGTACCTGTGGTGCAGGTTCAGTCGTGGCTTCCTCCCCTGGTGGGGCACCCTGCATGCAGCATCAAGCAGCCCTGGCCTCTGTTCCCCGCCCCGGATAAACAGTACGGCCTCCAGACACAGCCCTGGCCTCTGTTCCCCGCCCGGCTCAGGATAAACAGTACGGCCTCCAGACACACCCCTGGCCTCTGTTCCCCGCCCCGCTCAGGATAAACAGTATGACCTCCAGACACAGCCCTGGGTCCCCAGGGGCTGAGAACCACGGGTTCCCACCTGAGCCAAGAGCGACCTGAACTCCGGGAGACCAAACTCACAGGTTGCACTTGAGGCCCCCTTCTGAGGGAGCCAGGCTGATACGTGGTGAAACAGCAGAGAGGCCTAGAGCACTGCAGTGAGCCCCCACAGCATGAACTGAACGGGGCAGGGGTCCCTGTCCCCCACAGCATGAACTGAACGGGGCAGGGGTCCCTGTCCCCCACAGCATGAACTGAACGGGGCAGGGGTCCTTGTCCCCCAGAACATGAACTAAACAGGGCAGGGGTCCCTGTGCCCCAGAGCATGAACTGAACAGGGCAGGGGTCCATGTCCCCCAGAGCATGAACTGAATGGGGCAGGGGTCCTTGTCCCCCAGAGCATGAACTAAACAGGGCAGGGCCTGTGCCCCATGAACTGAACAGGCAGGGGGTCCATGTCCCCCAGAGAACTGAATGGGGGCAGGGGTCCTTGTCCCCAGAGCATGAACTAAACAGGGCAGGGGTCCTAGCCCCAGAGCATGAACTGAACGGGCAGGGGTCCTGTCCCCAGAGCATGAACTGACCCGGGGCAGGGGTCTCTGTCCCCCAGAGCATGAACTAAACAGGCAGGGGGTCCTTTATCCTTGTGCCCCAGAGCATGAACTGAACGGGGCAGGGGTCCCTGTCCTGCCCGCATGCAGCAGGTATAGGCCCCAGAGCTCATCTCCACGGTTGCACAAGCGAGTAACAGCCAGGTCAGGCTCAGGGAGAACCCCATGCGGCCCGGAAGGGGCGGCTGCTGCACACTCACCGTCTGCCACATGCCGTGGTTGATGACCGGGCCGCTGCTGGTGACGCGGCCGACGCCATTATAACGCAGCTGCAGCTCCAGCCGGCCGGCTCGCAGGGCCAGCACGATCCAGGTGCTGTCCTGGTGGCCTCCAGCGAAGAGGAGGATGCCCTCGGGGTCAAAGGTCCGGAAGTCAAACTCAGCTACGAGCCTGGGCACCCACAGGAGAAATGAGTCAGTGCCGGGCATACGGCCAAGCCCGGGCCCAGGCCCCGTGCAGCCAGCATCTTGGCCGTGCTAAGCTGTGCTGCCTTCTGTGGACGCCTCCTCACCTGGTGGGCTGCAGCCTCTTGAAGCGCAGCCGGATCACGGGGGTCCCACTGAACATCCGGCCCAGGTACAAGGACTTCACGCTCTTGGCCATGCTGAAGGGCACACACGGCAAGATGTCCTGCCACAGATGGGGACCACGCCAGTCGGGGATGCGACCTCCACTCCAGCTCCCCTGAGCCCCAGGCCCCCGCCGTGCAGCAGGTCCACTGTTCCTCCCACGCCCGGGAGTGTGGCCGCCCCACCTCCAGCTGCCGAGGCCCCAGAGGCTGTCACACCTGCCCCACCACCGGGGCTCCCAGGTGAAGGACGGGCTCGCACCAGCTGCTTCCCACAGGGCTTCTCGGGGGTCCCTGTCACCTCCTTCCCTGCCCATTTCCCTTGACCCTTTATTTTTAAATTATGAAATATGTCAAGCATACAAAAAGTACAGAGAATCATAAAAAAGTATACACATAATGAAATAAATATGGATGCCTTGAAGATGGCTGTCCCGGAAAGTTCCCTACTCTGGGCTGTGGTTCCTCCATGCTGCCCTACGGGGGACAGAACCAAGGCCGGTGCAAGCTGGTGTCCCTGGAAAACAGAGGAGCTGGGGCTGGGGCTGAGCCGGCCTGCTCCGCCCACCGTGGGCAGCCAGGGTGAGCTGGACGCCTGGCAGGGGCCCGACGCCGTCTGCATGAGTACACGAGGCAGTGAGGCAAAGAACCTCAAGGCGAGGGCTGGTTGGGAGCCCCGAACGTTGCAGCCCAGACCCAAGAGCCCCACAGCCGTGTCCCAGGTCTGTGACTCCGAGAAGCTGTCCTGGTGGCTGTTTCACCTGTGGAATCCTGCGGTTTTGCTTTTTAAATAAATGCTCACTTTCGTCAACTCCCCAGGCACAGGCCCAGGGTGAACAGGAAAGAGGAGAGCCGCCCTGCCCGGAAGCGTCCCCATGTGGGTACCACATCCCCATCGGTGTGACAGGTCGGTCAGGCTGGCTCCCTGGCATGCGGCAGTGGGGACCGTGCCCCGTGGGTGTCACACTGGGGTCCACACCACGCTGGTCCACTGTGAGTTGGGAGTTGCCATAGAGACTTTATAAATACAACCAAACATCTTCCAGGGAGCAGAAGCGTTTCTCATCCCAAACCTCCACGTGGCCCTGGAGATCCCCAACACCTGCTCTTGCTTTTTAAATAAATGCTCACTGTAACCCTCAAAAGGCTGCAAATTCAGGGTGAGAAAGAGGAGGCACGCTCTGCCCTGAAGCGTCCCCACAAACAAACATCCCCAACGCGTGACAAAACGGTCGCAGCCGGCCCCAAGCAATGCGGCAGTGAATCTTCGTCCTCGCGGGTGTCATATCAAATTCATAATGCTTGGTCCACTGTGAGTTGGGAGCTGCTACATAGAGACTTTATAAATACAACCAAACATCTTCCAGGGAAGTGGAAGCGCCATCCCAAACCTCCACGCGTGGGTTCTGCATCCCCAACACCGCAGCAAGCAGCGTTTCTCATCCCAAACCTCCACGTGGCCCTGGAGATCCCCAACACCGCAGCCAAAGCCAGGTCTTCACGAAAGCCCCCACCGGCGAGGGCCCCCAGAACCACCGTGAGAGGCCCGCGGGGCCAGGGGCTGCCTACCTCACAGGTGTCCATGTCCCGGGACAGCTTGAGGCCCCCGCGCCCATCACAGTGGCAGGTGTAGCTGCCCGGGGAGTTCACGCAGACCTGCTCACAGCGGCCCTGCAGACACTCATCCACATCTGCCAGCCAGAGGGAAGTGGCGGTGAGCGGGGGAGGCCTCTACACCGCACTGGGCAGGATCACACCACAACTGCTCAAACCACACACAAGGTGCACTCGAGGAATTACGTGCAGATTCTAACGGGTGCAGCCTGGGGTTTGTAGGCCCCATTGGAAAGCTAGGAGTGCACCCTCGGCCTGCTCCTGACAGCCTCTTTCTTGAGGGAGCGAAAGTGCTACAGGTGTTCTGGGGGACGCTCCCAACGGGCCAGACCCACTCCCACCGCTGGGCTGGTGTGGACGGCAGGTCTAGGAAGAACAAGGCCCGGGCTGTGCAGTGAGGTGTCCCCGGGAGCACAGAGGCGCCGACAGCTGTGGTGGGAGATGGAGGTCAGTGCAGGCAGCCTGGGCCTCCCCACCCTCTCTGTCTGCCTACTCAGCCCCTGTTCCCATCACTGGGGGCATGGCCCCTCTTGGAGGCTCTGCAGCCAACAGGGTCCCCCCATGGCGGCTGAAAAGAGAGAACAGTAGAGGGAGGCTTGCTGCTCCCCATACCTTTGGGGAGAAGCCCCACCTACGCAGGTGGAGAAGGGTACGCACGTGTGTACATGCGGTGCATATGCATGTGCGTGGTATGTTCTTGTGCACAAGGGGCATGGGTGTGTGTGCTCACGTGTGTGGGGGGCATGGTGGTAGAACAGGCCATTACCAGGCTGACAGAAACAGGGAGAAAGAGACTTTCTTTCACCAGAAGCGCCCAGTTGTTAGCAACTGCCCTGGCTCAGGCAGTGACTGGCACCCGTGTCTGGGCTTGGGCGTCAGAGGAGGAGGAGAGAACCCGAGGGTGACCGCGTGGCATGGGTACCTCGGCAGGCCTTCTCCTGGGAGCTGTACGCAAAGCCCTTGTCACAGAGGCAGGAGTAGGAGCCGGGCAGGTTCTTGCAGCGTGCCTCCCCGCAGGCCTCCGAGTCTGCACACTCGTCTATGTCTGCAAGCAAAACCGGCCAACCTCAGCATGGCAGCATCTCAGACGGGGCTGGGGCAGGTGGCTGCAGGGGCTGGCCAGGGCACCACCCGGACATCACACCCAGGCTCTGTGGGGCCAACGCGCCCTGGCCCCAATTCCCTCCCCTCCTCCCCTGACCGGGCAGTTCCCGGGGTGTTGGGGGCATGCTTCTGATCACGGCCCGGCTGGGAAGGCTGATTTCAGCCCAGCAGATGGAGAGCTGGGAAGGGCCTTGCTTGGTCCAGGGGTGGGGGGCGGTGGTGCACGCTGTGCTGTTCCATTTAAATGATGGTGCCACAGGATACGGGGCAGTAAAAAGCAACCCCACCAGGGGCATTTGAAACCAAAACCCCCAAAGAGAAGCATTTATAGGTTTCAATCAATTTTCACTACCGGGTTAAACCACAATCCTAAGACTTGAACATCTATGTGGGACAGACACTGTTTATGGCCAAGCGCCCTGGGGTACAAGGGGCAACCCTGAAATGAAGACCTTTAGTCACCAGAGGAGAGCAAGGACAGGGGCATGGAGAAAGAGGAGGTGGGGGGAAGAGGAGGGGGAGGAGGAGGGGGAGAAGCAGAGAGGAAGAGGAGAAGGCGAGGGAGGGGTAGGGGGAGGAGAGGAGGAGGTGGGGGAGGGGTTGGGAGTGGTGGGGGAGGAAGAGGGGGAATAAGGATGGGGGAGGAGGGGGAGGATGGGAGGAGGGGGAGGAGGCAGGGGAAAAAGAGGGGGAATGAGGAGGAAGAAGGAAGGAGGAGGAAGAGGGGGAGGAAAAGGGGGACCAGGGGGAGGAAGAGAAGAAAGAGGAGGAGGAAGATGGGGAGGAGGAGGAGAGGATAGGATGCCTCTGTCACCGTGGGCAGTAACTGTGAGCCCAGACTTTGCCGGGAGTGCCCGACTGGTGCAGGGACCCATGTGAGGTGCTTTAGACGTCATCTCCCAGGATTGGCCGTGTCTTCACCTCTCTTTAAACCTGGGGTGCTGCTGTCTTCCAGGTCAGGGAGAGAGCAGTGATGGGAGGGGCTCTGTCCTCCAGGCAAGAGGAGGAGTAGCTGAACGGCGAAATGGGTTTATGTGTTAAGATGGGAATCACGTCATCTGCACACAGGACTAACTCCTGGGTGGTCAGGGAAGGGAACCATCAAAGTGGACACAAACAGCAGCTGCCTTTTGAAATCGGGGACAGCGTGGGGCCCCTCCTGTCTGGTCAGATTCACTCTCCAGCTCCTGGGCCTGTTTCTCCCTGAGCAACTAACTGTCTGTCCCATCCACGCAGTCCGGTGTCCGGGACCGCCAGCAGCAGCAGTAAGAACGATGCCAGAAATTCTCAGGGACACGCCTGGGCATGTCCAGATCCAAGGCGGGAGGGAGGAGGAAGGTGCTCCCCCTGCGAAGCCCCAGTGGCAGGAGCAGCACCCAGGACAGCATCGGGGGTGCACACATTCACAGTGACTTTCTGGGGTGTCCCGGGGCTCCCCAGCTCTGGCCCTGGGCCGAGGGAACCCCAGACTGAAACACAAAGGGAAATGGGGAGGGCAGGGCTGTATTTAGGGAACAGACAGAGGGAAACCAACAACGGGGTGCTTCTAGGGACGCTGGGGAGAGTGGACGGCAGCGGGGACCCTAGCCTGGAACTCTGACCCACAAGCTCACTGCACAACAGCCTGGAGCACTCCCAGGCTCTGCCAGGCTCTGGGGACGGGACGAGGCCCTGCAGCCAGCAGTGTGGCCTCTTGAGTTCTGGCCCTCAGATGCCGGGTGAGTCATCCTGATGTGGTGCCGAGTAGCTCCCTGTGCTGCGGCTCGCCTGGGCTTGTGCAGTCTCTGCAGGATGCCCCGTCCCGTCCAGAACCACAGGAACCCAGCCAGCAGCAGCCTCTTGCAGAAGCGCAGATGTGACCAAAAATAGAAGGTGGGGAGAGGAGAGAGGCCTCACCCCAGGGCCTTACCTTGGCAGGTCCTGCCGTCAGAGGAGAGCTGGAAGCCGCTGTGGCAGGCACAGTGGAAGCTGCCCGGCTTGTTGTGGCAGATCTGGAGGCAGCCCCCGTTCTCCTGGCTGCATTCATTGACATCTGGGAACAACCACAGGCCTGAAGGGGAGCCCAAGGGTGCAGAGTCCCCATCTAGGGCAGGGAGAGATCCCAGAGGTGCACATCCCAGCCCTGGAGCAGGAAGGGACCCCGGGGCTGGGGAACACAGCCCAGCCCTGGAGCAGAGAGGGAGCCCAGGGGTGCACAGCCCCCATCTAGAGCAGGGAGGGTCCCCAGGGCTCGGACCTCACACCCCCCTCAGCAGCCCCAGCGTTTCGGGGACCCTGGTCCTGGCCTTGCGTGTGGAGGTGATGATGGGAGGGCTGTGGTCTCAGCCCGGGGAGCTGCTGGCAGTCACAGCCACAGGGCTCAGCTCCCTGGATGCCCACATGCTTGCAGGAAGAGGCTGCAGGCCAGGAGTGACCTCTGGGTGCCTGAGGACAGACAAGGCCAGGCCAGAGCTGGCCACTCCTGAGCGAAGCTCTCCCAGGTCACCTCTGGGGTGGGACCTGCCAAAGGGGACAGGCTGGCCTGCTGGACTCTCCACTGTGGGTCTCCACCAGGCCCTGGAGCTATTCTTCCTCCAGGGTCTTCACCGACACCACAGGTCCGCACTCAAGGACGGTGAGAGGTGAAACTTCTCCCCCGCCTTTCAGTCAGTGGGCGCTGAGGCACCACCTGGCGTTTCCTTTCATTCCAGCCCTGCTCCCAGAGAGGAGACTGCAGCTCCTCCCAGTTCTGGGGCTCCAGGATACCTCAGGGCTGCAGCCGCCTTCGGGCTGTCAGAGAGCAGCCTGAGGACGGCTGTGCCCGGAGTGGGAGTGAGGAGTGGGGATCAGGACAGGGTTGGAGAGGGAGGGAGACCCTGCCTTTGTCTTCAGCCTCACGTGGCTGTGGGGGTCTTACCTCTGTCGCAGAGCCGGCCCCCCCAGCCGGCTTTACACAGGCAGAAGAAGTTGCCCATGAGGTCTTGGCAGGCTTGGGTACCCTTCTTATCACAGGGGTTGGGCGTGCACTGGTCAGGCAGGTCTGATTGGGGACACAAAGTGGAAAATCATGCTCAGCTGCCCCCCTGTCCCCGACGCAGCTGGGAGTGGGGCAGCCATGATGCCTAGGGTCCAGCCCGGAGGAGCTCTGAGAGGCGGAGGCTGAGGTGGGTCCTGGGCACCCGAGCCCCCTGTGCTGGCCCAGGGCTGACAGAACAGGCTAGCGGGCCCTGGGGCCGGCTCCAGGAAAACTCAGATCAGCTGGGAGGGAGTGCCAGCAGGCCCGACGCGCGAGGTGGGAAGGGCCAAGGGCAAAGGAGCAGGAACCGCCTGGCGCGAGGCCCAGGAGCTCAGACCTCCCGGGGAGCAGGCAAACAGAACCCCCAGCTGACCTGGGGCCCTTCCAGGTGGACTCAAAACATTCTACCTTCCCTGGCCAGCCCCAGCCCATTTCTGGTGAACTCTCCCTGCTGGGCACGGCGGACAGGACCCCAAGCCCAGGCTGCACTGCCAGAGGGGTCCTCTAGGAAGCCCCCTCTTTCTTCTTAGCCACCCCCCTCCACGTGTCTTGACGGCTTTAGGCCAGATGTGTGCTGCCCTCTCTCAGGGCGATCACCTGGGCTGAACTCCTGCAGGGCGAGAGGGCAGGGGGGTGGGTGAGGGCCTGAGGGCGGGAACCCGTCCCAGTGCAGCTGCTTCCCAAGGAGTCCCCCATACCGGGAGCTGCTCACAAACGTTTCCAGGACACGGACCGAACCCACGTCCCAGAGGCAGGCAGGGAAGCCCCTGAGAGCGCGGTTACGCAAGCCTGAGCCCCAGGAAGTTGGCAGGAAGAACTACAATTATGCCCGGAGCTCAAAGAACCCTTTCACGGCCCCGGGCTGAGCAGCAGCAGCAGCTCAGGGCTGGGTGTGGCAGTGCTCAGGGGCGTGGTCCACGCTCGGCTCCGCCCCACACGAGGACTCAGCCATGCTCAGCTTAGCCACTCACGGCTCCGTGGGGAACCCTGGGTAGGGCCCCCCGCTGGCTGAGGGCTCCTGTCCATTGATTCCACACAAGTTCAATAAGGACCAGTCCCTGGGAAAAGCGCAGGCCGGGCCAGCAGGGCCCTAGAGCACTCGGCCAGCGCCATCCTGAGGGGGTCAGCTCTGGTGGGGGCACATCAAGTCTTCAACAGATGGGCTCTCACTGCCAGCGTGTCGCTTCCGTTCCTGAGGCTCCCAAGGTGACACTTCCCACCAGGTCCGTGGAACGTGGCGTTTCCAACAGAGGGTCCAGCCTCGGCTGTCAGTGCAGGAGCTGCTTCCCTCCCACCTGCACTGGTTGGTGCCAGCGGGCGGGTCTGTGGTTCACGAAGCTGCGTTCCTCCAGGTAATCCAGTCACTGCCTGTGGCCAGCACAGACACAGCCCCTGTCCTCCCAGGCGGGTCCAGGCACCGAGCTCACCAGAAGCCCGGACACGAGTCCCAGACTTCTTGGGAAAGCTGCCCAACCACACTGGCTTCTTCCTGCGATGCTTTGCCGCACGCCTGTGTTTCCTCCGTATACCCCAGTTTCCTCCTCATGCCTCAGTTTCCTCCGTACACTCCACAGTTTCCTCCTCATGCCTCAGTTTCCTCCGTACACCCCACAGTTTCCTCCGTATGCCTCACAGCGTTTCCTCCATACGCCTCAATCCGTGTCTCCTGGCCCATTTCCTCCATCGCCCTCTGATTTCCTCCATACCTCAGTTTCCTCCTCGCCTCAGTTTCCTCCTCGCCTCACAATTTCCACCATACACCTCAATTTCCTCCACTCGCACTCAATTTCCCTCCATATGCCTCACAGTTTCCTCCATTATGCCTCAATTTCCTCCATACACCTCCCAGTTTCCTCCCTCGCCTCACAGTTTCCTCATACACCTCACAGTTTCACCTCCATACGCCTCAGTTTCCTCCATACCCCTCAGTTTCCTCCATCCCGCCTCACTGTTTCCTCCATAACCTCTGTTTCCTCCGCTCACGCCTCAGTTTCCTCCATACACCTCTTCTCCTCGCCTCTGGTTTCCTCACTGTCCTCAGTTCCTCCACCAAGCCTCAGTTTCCTCCCTCCTGCCTCAGTTTCCCCTCCATACACCTGTTCCTCCATCGCCTGAGTTTCCTCCACTGCCCCAGTTTTCTCCACTACACCTCAGTTTCCTCCTTAAGCCTCAGTTTCCTCCATGTACCTCAGTTCCTCCACTCCGCCTCAGTTCCTCCACTCGCCTCAGTTTCCTCCGCCACCTCAGTTTTTCTCCATAGCCTCAGTTTCCTCTGTACCTCCTGATTTCCTCCATGCCCCCAGTTTCCTCCATCGCCTCAGTTTTCTTGTTTTTACAAATGATAAACAGAACGCAAAGGTGTCGGTTTGCAACTCCGTCTCGAAGTATTTCCTAAGATACTCTTTTCAGCAGGTCGCTATAAATGCCTTCTGTTAAACACAGGGGCTGGGGCTGAGAAACAAGGGCCAGGACCAGAGCATTCTGCATCAGCACAACCACAGGAACGGCCGGGCCCCATCCTGACCCTGCACCCAGCCCGGCTGTACCTGGGTGCTGTGTGTCATAGGCGTCTGGAAGACATCAATGTGGTCACAGCAGGGCCTGGAAGGAGAGTCCGGCCTGGACTAGAAGCCGGCGCGTCCTTCGCCTCTGGCCTCAGATGAAGGGGCTCTGGGGGGCAGGAGGAGGCAGACACGTGCAGGGTAGGCGCGGCCTGTGCAGGAGGGCCCAACCCTCCGACACCCAGAACCTGACCCTCAGAGGCCCCCACTGCTGTGGAGGGGATGCTGTGCGCTGCCACTTACAATGTTTGGTTAGAGACTAGTGTTTCAAGTGGACACCTGCCCATGTGATGTGAAGGGCTGGAACCCTGGTCCTGACTTTGCCTGGGCAGCCCTTTGGGAGACCTGTGTCCTGAGGCTGAGAGAGAGAGTGAGGCTGAGGGCGCGAGGCTGAGGGGAAGCGAGGCTGAGGGACAGCGAGGCTGGACAGCGAGGCGGAGTGAGGCTGGCGACAGCGGGAGGCTGAGGACAGCGAGGCTGGTGAGGCTGAGGACAGCGAGGCTGAGGACAGGCGAGCTGAGGGCCCAGCCCGAGGCTGGGGACAGCGAGGCTGAGACAGCGAGGCTGAGGACCGAGGCTGAGGACAGGCTGAGGACAGCGGGGCTACGGGGACACGCGAGGCTGGGGGACAGCGAGGCTGAGGACAGCGAGGCTAGGGGACAAGAGGCTGAGGACAGTGCCTGCTCTGCGGGTGCCCAGCTCTTCGTGGTCCTGATCTCATGGCACGCCCTACCCGGAGCCTCCCCCAGCTCATTTGTTTCCCTGTTGGGCATGTACTGATACCTCTACGATGTGAGGACAGAGCCACATCTGAGGTGGACCTCAGCTGGTGCCCAGCAGATGTCTGCTGGAATTTCACTCCACACAGCAGAAACCAGCAGAGACAGAAACCTCTGCAGGCCCCAGAAGACTTACCTCCTGACCCCTTCCCAGCTCACAGCGGGCCACCCCTTCTCTGACCCGCCCAGCTCCTGACAGGCACCCATTTCTCTGACCTTCCAGCTCCACAAGCGGGCACCCACTTCTCTGGCCGCCCACCTCCCTGGCGGGCACCCACTTCTCTGACCCTCATCCCACAAGCCTGCGACCTGAAGTCGCTGGTCTGGCTGGTCATGCCCTGGGCACTGGCGCCTGCAGAGAGTTCAGGAGTGGGGTTTATCTCAGCTTTCGGCCCATGACTGTGTTGAAGGACAGGGAGGGAGCAGCCATAGCTGTAGCTGGAATTGAAGCCAGTGCAGCAGCTAGGAACCCTTTCCTGGGTGGTGACAGGCAGGACCAGGAGCCCTATCCGTCCGAGGAAGGGGCGAGGACCTCCTGTGGTGGGAGGTGGGGATCCTGGTAGCCGGGGCTCCAGTGACCGCTGCTGGGCCACAGCCTGTGGGGACCTGGCCTTCCTGGGGAAACCCATGGGCCAAAGGGCAGAAATCCCGGCACCAAGCGGCCGCTAGGGCAGGACGAGAATGTTCAGCCGGAGAGGCTGGATGTGTCCATGGGAAAGGAAATGGAGAGCAGAGAGTAAGGCACCGAGAACGCAGCCTACACACTCTTTGGGCCCTCCTCCCTCAAGTCCGTGGGTCCTGGGACAGCCGAGGGCCACACAGGCTCCCATGCAAGGCCCGCGGGGCCGCGGCTCATCTGGAGCTGGGTGGGACTCTGTGGGGCTGGCTTTGAACTCTGGCGATAACGCAGTGAACTGAAGCCAGGACAGCACCGTGGCTTTAAGTCAGAGAATTTTCACAAGGACTGATGGACAAGAACAGGGTGAAGGCCCAGCCATGTCCTCATCCAGAGGCGCCTTCCCAGGGCGTGAGGCTGCCTGCTGGCCCCTAAAGCACCTTCCTCACCGCCAGGTGTCTTTTGAGAGCACTCCAGCGTCAGAGCTCAGCCATGTGCTCTGGAGGGCGAGCCCAGGCTACAGGCAGGGCAGCTCTGAGGCCGCTCAGGAAGAGTGGCCGGGCTTCTGGCCTAGAGGCAGGTGGACCTGTACAAACTGCATATATAGCATTTGCCTCTGGCAGCAGCCACAAGCAAAGAGATTCTCTTCCTATCACACAGGAACAAACTCAAGGATCTTGACCCTGCCCTCCTCTCTCCCAGCTGACGCACTCGGGATGTTGATGCCACAAAATAATGACCAAAACAAGGAAGTAACTCTGTTAGGCGGCAAGAACAGAAATATGAACATGTAGCAATCAGTCTCACATCTTCATCCACGCAAGCAAGCAGCGCCGTGGAAAGAGCCGGCCTTCTTTGCTACAAATAGCCAGAAGTGAACTTGGCAAAGGAAGCGCGGGGCACACAGGAAGAAAAGTGCTCCAAGGGACGGACAGGGCCGGTGCCAGGGTGAGGAAAGGCTGCGCTGTTCAGACAGTCTCAATATATGAACTGCAAGCCCAGGTACAAAAATATCAAAGGGCTTTTTGGGTTTTAAGACTATTTTTTAAGTCTAGTTGTATTAAATAA